TCGGCCTCGGCACGTGCCGGGCTTTCCTTCACTATCCAGTTCATCTAACCAAGTCGCTGAGTATCCTCTGCCTGCCTCGGCAAGTGAGCTTGGAGCCCAGAGGACCCCTAAAGTCAGGACACTTAGAAGCTCCCATCTCCAGTTTTGCTAACATGGCACCAAGTGGGATCTGGAAGATATTTCATTCTCCCCAAGTACCATTAGCCAGGACTTCTGAAAAATATTTTTTTTCTGTGAGTAAACAGATACTTAGAGCAAGTCTTCCTGGGGTTCTTTAAGCTAAGGATGAAAAGCCCCCTTTGGTCTTTAGGAGGCTGCACCTCAAGTGTCCTGCACAACTGGTGGGTTAAGGGAGAAAGAGAAAAATAAGAGATGGAGAGCAGGAAGGTAACGTGTAAGTCAGATGCACAACATCCTAAGAATAAACTACACAGCAAAAAACACAGTCATCACTACTGGAAAAGGGACCAAAGCACCACAGGTCCCTTCTCTGCTTTCCAGTCAGTTCCATGGGTGTTGGCTGACTGTGCTACTTATCTACAGGAACAGAATGTAGATCAAAATACTCCGAGACCTAAGCATACCTTTTGAGAGTAGCTGACATGAGGAAAAGCTTGAGAGAGTAGCTTTTACGTTTATGTCTACATTAAGGGAGAAAATACTCCACAGATAAATCGTTTCCTTCATACTTTATTAAAGTCAAATCAGGATCAAGCCAGAAGGGCAAAGAATTAGAAATAAGAAATTTGGGCAAGTGTATCACCTTTCCACAGAAAAGAAAGCAGGAAAAACCGTAAGATGAGACCACTGATAAATCATTTAAGAGAGAGAATTCTGTTTTCTGAATTCACTTCTCCCATCAGGGATTCATCATCATTCCTAATAATGTCCAGCTACTGTCCTCCACCCCAGTGGTCTGGCCTGGGTAGCACACTCCACACCGCTCGCTGCGGAACAAGAAGCTCCTCATCAAAGCCCCAATCCTACAAAAACATAGTCTGGCGTTAAATTTGGCACAAAGCGTTCATTCAAAGCTTGCTGAGGTACAAAGGAATCCACTTCTTCACCCAAAATCCACTGAAAAAGAGCTAAGAACTTGTGATCGCAAACAATTTCAGTCTTTCATACTGCACAAGAATTATATAAATTAATAAATATTTGGTTCTGAGCAAGTTAACCAAATCCTCAAAATAATATTCCTCTGGAAATTAGATTAATCAACGCATTTAATCTTTGGACAGTTTCTTTCTAAGCAAATAAAACCTTTTGCTGTTCCAGGCCAATTTAAAAAAAAAAGAAGTAAATAATGCTGCAAATGAACATAATGCGGTTTTGAAAATGCCCTGATGACAATACAGGAAGAAATGTACATTTTATTCCTAATTTGTTTTAATGAAAACAGTGTCCAAAGAGATAACAAAAGAACAAATGTAAAGACCACCTGTGAAAGAGATTACCAGGATTACTGAAGCTGAACAAAATTCTCCATCAAATTGTAACAGCTAACTTACATAGGTTACATACAGATAAATATATTAACAAACGGCACTGGAATGTCTGCAAATGTCCTCCAGCAGTTTTAAATAATCCTGGAGGTATTTCTAACCTGCAACTGAAAGGACATGCTTTCAACAATTTGGTTCTATGACTGTACCGTACCTTTAATCCTGAGCAAGGGCAAACTCTTAAAAGAACGAAGATCTTGCTCTGATAACCAAAACACACGCAAACAGACAATTCTCACAGTAATCCCCCACTGCTCCATACTAAAAAGATAAACCTATTAATGTGTTAGAAAAGAGGGGGGTATCATAGAATCATGCAACAACATAAAGAGAAACAAGGGGTGAATGTGAACCTCTGAAGATCATTTTAACGCTGTGCCCACCAGCCCGCAGTTACCCAGGAGCACACGGGGTGTTACGTGCCTCCTCCTCCTCAGTGTGCGGACCTTAACCTCACACTTTCATAGAATCATAGAACCACAGAATGGCCTAGGCTGGAAGGGACCTTAGAGATCACCTAGTCCAACCTCCCTGTCATGGGCAGGGACGCCTCTCAACTAGATCAGGCTACTCAAGGCTCCGTCCAACCTGGCCTTGAACACCTCCAGGGAGGGGGCAGCCACAACATCTCTGGGCAATTTATTCCAAAGTCTTGCCACCCTCGTACTGAAGAATTTCTTCCTAAGATCTAATCTAAATCTATTCTCCTTCAACTTAAACCCATTTCCCCTTGTCCTATCGCTGGACACTCTTGTAAAAAGTCCCTCCCCAGCCTTCCTGTAGGTTCCCTTCAGGTACTGGAAGGCAGCTATTAGGTCCTCCCAAAGTCTTCTCTTTCCCAGACTGAACAATCCCAGCTCCCACAGCCTGTCCTCGTAGCAGAGGGGCTCCAGCCCAAACCTCCTGACACGAGAGATCAGTTCAACAGCCCCAGCAGACGGAGCCGGGTGTTGTTTCCCCACCCTCTGCAGTGGGAGATTGCAATGAACTCCCTGCCCTCTGCTCAAAGACCGGTCAGGGTTGGGCGCAAGGCAAAAGTCACAGAGAGCCACCCACCCTCAGAAAACGTTGTGCTTGACGGCAGATCTTCTACCCAGCTTCTGCCTGCAGAAAGGCTATTAGTTCCCAACTGTTTTTGTAGAAGTAAGACTCCTACTCCGGTCCTTAGAAAAATCAACTGTGAAATGTGTTTGACAGCAACAGCCATCTCAGAGGAGCAGTTCCCCATGAAGCTGCAGCACTCGGGGAGCTGGCTCAGGCTCCCGGTTCGCTCCTGCCTTCAGAGGTTTTGCTAAACAGCAGCGTTTTGTTTCCAACCCACAAGAGCCCATAGAGACATGCCAGCTTAGAGGCAGCACTAAAAAATCTTTCAAGAAGGGATCTGACATTTTCTTTTGTTCTCATTTCTATAGTATTTTCTCCTTCGGGAAGGTTATTTGAAGTATCTGGTGCTGACATTTAGCAAAATGTGAAATATGAATTGGAATAGCTGTTCATAGGTAGTGACGCAGCGCAGGACAGCGTGTCCCACGGAGGGGCACTGGCCAGGGCACACGATATTATTCAAATGCTCCCACAGCTTCAATCTTCGCTGTACTTTCCTCTCTCCCACACACAAATTAACCCACAAGCACCAGCACAGGGGTGCTACGGTTTACCACAGGGTTTTTTTCTAATCTAGTGTTCCATCATAAATCAGGGGCATCTCTTCCATCTCACTCTAGCAAAGCAGAGCTTTGTGACCAAAAGCATGCTTACACATGCAGATCTTTCCTGTCACAATCACAAAAATTTCCCCAAATTCGCTATGTATAATTATCTCACTAGAAAAAATTACCAGATAAATCTGCCCCTAGCAAAAAAGTTGATTAGATGATGAAAGACAGACCAAGACTCAATAAACTGCCTTTTTTAGTTACTTATGAAAGGACTCACGGCAAGGGAACATACTTTATAGCACTAATACTCTCAGGTGAAAGTTGCATTTAGTGCCGTTATACTTACTTACCCGCCCGTCTACAAAAACCTCCCCACAAGACCCCAAAACGCTCAGCGGTACAGAGCCCAGCCCTGCAGAGCTCCTCCTCCTCACTGCCGATGCGACGGATGCTCTGCAGGACCACGAGCCCTCAGAGCCCCACACAACCACAGCTGCCAGGCACACAAGCACACGCTGAGCAAATCAATGCAAATCTTACGGCTCGATTTCCCTACGCGCTGACTGCCCGAAGAACAGTGAAAGTTAAAAAGAAAAACGGATCTCTGCCCTCCTGCAAAATCAGCAACAATTCAGAGCTTCAGTTTTTGTTAAGATCACTTTAACTATATTTTTAATCACTTAAACCAGAAGTGTCTGTGTTATCACAACTATTTAAATGCAGAAACATCAGTGTCTTCCACATGAAAACAATACCGAGCGTTTTTCTCCTCGTAAACACAAGACAGCATCTGAACTTCCATCCAGAAACCATTAAATATGATCAAATCTATCCAGAAACCATTAAATATGATCAAATCTTTCAATGTCTGCTAACAGTGCTTCAGTTGCCTGTCTGCATACGCACGTTTACAAACGCAGTCAGCAAGTTGGTGAAAAATAAAACAGGAAAATCTCCTGCAGAAACCCTGTTGTGCCGAGCAAGCCACATCCCATTCCTACTCAAGTCTTCACGCCACTGCATCTTATAAAAGGTAACAGATGCCTCAGAGCTACATTCCTGAAGTGAAACTATTTGCCAAAATACCCAGAAAATTTACAGCAAGGATTTGTAAACACCGGAACTAGCCGCCCAGTCCCTCAAATGCCTTCTCAAACTCCTCCATGACACAAAAAATTCAGAACTCAAAAGACCTGGACATGCCACAGCATCCCAAACACCTCAGGACTTCTGCTTCAGCCACCACCAGAGACTTTGGGGTTTATTTAGAAGCCTTTGCTGCTGTGGTTAAGGGTCTGGCTCTCCCACTTGCACCTTCTTTCATTTGCAAAGTTGTCCAGGCTTATTTTGGGCAACTCCCGTATTCACCCAGTCGGTATGCAACCCAGGACATGATACAAATCCTCAGGGGAAGAGCCCCAACTTCTCCAAGAAAAATAAGATTTCTTTTACATTTTACAATCACTTGGCACCTGTGCTATAAGAGCAATATTTACCAAAAGCACCAAATTCGTGCCACAAGGATAATATTTCTAGGAGCATCAGACTTCCTACACATAGGTTGCTTTCAGGAAATCTCAGAAGCGTGATGCTGGTAAGACATACCATTGTATACACCCAAAAACCCCACCCTTCTGGGTATATGTTAAAATACTGACCATTTACAACAGCTTATAGATATAAGGAGAGGCACACTGGTGCACATGACATCTCAGAGCACAGAGGGCAACTCAGCTTTGGAAAGGCTGAAGTTCCCAAAGCAGGGAATCCCTTCTCCCATGCTTTTTACACCTCTCTCCCAACCCCCGAGTCTCACACGTGCCCTAGAAGTCCTCACCGGTCAGGGACTGGTCCGCTCCCAGCACGTTCCATTCTGCCGGCAGTTTCAGGTGTCGAAACGCCAAAGCCACCTTCTCATCCAAAAAGTCCACATCCGCAGCAGGCGGCCTCGACCGGTCCAAGAACCGCGTGAAATTCAGTGCCTGCTGGTTGCCAGCGCAGGTGGCCAGAAACTGGGCGGCATCGTAGGCTTCATCTTGGACAAACTGGAAACTCTCTTCTGCCACAACCAGAACAGGACGACCTTCTCTAGAGGCACAAAGTGCCACCTTCACTGTCTCGCAGCAGTCATGGCCTGCAAAATAAAACCAAGGGAAATGGTAAAGCGAACAATCAAATGTGCTGAAGAAACACAACTGAACAACTGCTTTGACACTTAAGAGTCTCTACAGTAAATATGGTAAAAATAAGTTAGGGAGAAACACAGCTCTAAATTAAAGACCATCTTGGGAATTTATATATATCAGGGATAAGCACTTTTTATAGACTTTAAAATAAAAAGATAGGTAATTCTTCTCTGTTTGGTACAATATAAACCAAGAAATATAAGCCACTCTCATCTGACCAGTTTAATAAGTAAACTCAAGAGCATCAAGTAATTCAAGTGAAGATCTTGCTAACGTACCCATGGAAATCACAGTCCAAACAGCCAGATTATATGGTCAAGCTTTTCTTTCCCAGCTCCACAGGACTCCAGTAACTCACCAGAAAACAGAACCCAAGTGCTGCAAAACTGTGTGCTCCAAGTGCTGTCACAACACTTGGCTTGTACACAAAACACTGCAATTTCACCTAAACCAAAGCTCTAAAAAGCAGCACTTGCTGTGAGCGCACCACCTGCCCAGGCACGCCCTGCGCGGGTGCTCAGACCTCACTGCTGCACCTGCCCTTTGGCATTTGGGCTCACACAACACAACTAAGCTGCTTCTGCTAAATAAAAACATGGAAATGGCCACTTTCTGTATTTACAAAGCAAAAAAGTTGGAAGTTTGAAAACTTTTAAGTTTATTTATTTATTTAGGGCAAGGGAGATAGGGGGCAAGGGCGCCCCGGCCTCGCGGCAATTTCATTGACTTGGAAACTTGAAATAAATAAATAATTAAACAAAGCCCACGACACCTTTTTTGACACTTTAAAAGGCAAAATATATTCTGTGTCCAGCGAGATCAGCACTTTTAATTGTCAGATATGTTCTTTCAATAATGAGGTTTGTGTTTCAAGTTCACCGTGCGGCACAGTTTCTTGTCCCAGTCTCCGACTGACGTCATGGCTGTTTTTGCCAGAACAGCATGGACCCTGCACTAATTACTGGAAAAGCTTCTTTTTGCCCATGACCTCAGCATACTATTACATTCATGAAACCCTGCTTAATTAAATACAAAATGACGATTTATTTTTAAAGGCTTGAAAATTCAATTTAAGCCCTATTTGTGGTCAGTGGGAAAGTTTCCTCCTTGTGTCGGGGCCCTTTGCTGTTGATTTGCCTGACAAAAGGAAAAATATGTCTCTAATCTTCATGGTCTTTTAGCCAACCCTTCAAATCTGTTCTGAGGCTTCTGGCATGTATACAGATTTTGTCTGCTGAAAGAGGCGATCCTGAAGTTAATTGAAAGGTCAAAACTGCTATTAGGACACTGCGGGTAGCACCAAAATTGTCAGAGACAAGGCTGCGCGGCTTCCTAAGGAGAGAAAAGTGCAGCTGGAGAGGTATCAAAGCCAAACGCAGAAGGGGAGGAAAACACACACGGATGTTTCTGCAACTGTTCAATGCAACCAGGAGGTTCTAAAGCTGAAAGACGAGAAAACGATTTTACTCCCAGCACCAGTCGTCTATTAGCACAAAGATGATATCTAAGCTGAAGGAAAATACTTACTAGTATTTGAAGTTATAAAAAAGAGTAAGGGTAGAAAGACCTACTTCTACCATTCTTGGAAATGTTGCACCAATAGGATGGGCAGGGAACTCTGCAGTCCCGATTGAGCTCATTCACAAACTCCACTCAGCCTCACAGTGGAAGCCTCAGATGTTGAAAGGGGGGATGACAGAACTTCAAGGAATTTGCTTTTAATGCAGTTCAGAACCGTACACCCCTTATTTTTGTTTATAGCCTCCGCAGAAACAGCAAGCTATATGCAAGCTGTAAATCAGGCCATGCTATCCTATGGGAGCTGACTCAAGTGCTGCAAACTTGGCTCTCCCTAATGCCAAGCAGTGGAAGTTTGCTAGAATGCAGAGATTTTAAAAAAAAATATTAAAAAATAAAAGATTCCTTAATAGCACAAAAAAATCCTATTTTTTTTTAAAGAAGTATTTTCTGTCTATTCCCATAAGAATCCCATCTGCAAAATAACCTAGAATACAGCTACTCTGCCAGAAAGCCAGCAGACTTTCAGGATTGAAGCGGAAGACAAACAGGAGCCACGAGCAGCTACAGAGAAACACTTCGGGACAGTCACTTTCTTTTCATGAAGCCAAACAACTCTTCTGCGAGACAGCAAAAACTCCTTTGTCATGGTAACAACTACAGAAACCTCAGTCAGGACACGTGGTCATAGAATCAGAATAGTTTGAGCTGAAAAAAACCTTAAAGACCATCCGGTTCTTGGCACCTCCCCTGTCATGGCCAGGGACACCTCTCACTAGACCAGTGAGGCTCAAAACCTCATCCAGGCTGGCCTTGAACACTTTCAGGGATGAAGCATCCACAACCTCCCTGCGAGACCTGCTCCTGGTCTCCTCAAGCTTGTACATCATGGATGTACACAAAGCTCCCTTGGATGGAGCATGTGTTAAACATCAGCTCCAAAATTACACAAAGCTGCACGATTGCTCAATGCAATGCAAGAGATGACAAAAAGGCCACGTCCTGATCTGCAGCCAGTGATGGTTCTCTTGAAACTCCCCCAGATATCCAACGCTGCCTTGAAAGGGAGGTGATGGAGCTGCCGATCCATTTGCATCTAACAGGATCAAACAAGCATCGTGCTAAACCCTGGGGAATGTTCTTCGAAAGGGCAATCGCTGGCAATGCTTTGATGTTCTCCTCATCTAAGAAGATGTCAGACTCCGGGAGGCGGTAAGAATCTGGGACAGGTTCTGACTTTTGGCAAACAGTTCAAACAAAAGAGAAGCCAGTAAGTAACAAGCATGGCCAATACTACAAAGATTGCTCAAGAGGTCTCTGCCCCCCTGCTTTGAAACTGCTACAGGAACGATGTAAGCAAACATGTCCCCAGCACACGAACCTTCTGAAGGAACCATCAACGGGGCAACGCTTCTCTCCACATCAAAGACTGTTGCTTCCTTTGCCTAGGCTAATATCTGAACTTCAATAGCCCTTTTCCCAGAGCATTAGCAAAAGTGAGCTAAGCTTTCTGGCACTCTCAGGAGATAAGTGGTTATCATCTGTAAAACAAGTCCAAATCTGTTTTTACGAGGTTAAGTAACTTGTCCAAGATCACAAAGAGCTCCGGGCAGCAGCAGAACAGACACTGTTCCTCTCTTCGCTGCTCTGGCTGGCAGGCAGCAGGGCTTTCTCCTAACACGGGTTACGCACCAAATCACGCACTTTGTAAGTATCAGGGCGTTCAACTGCTGCAACTCCCTCGCACACCTACCCCTGAAATGGAACAGAAAAACATCTGACTCACTAAGAAGGTGAAAAAAAAAACCACCTGGGTGTGTCAGGAAGAGTGATGAGTGTATTTATAGCCTATTTATCAGGACTTGAATTTTGATAGGCTGCAAACACAATAAAACTGAATAAATCACACAGATGAGAGCACTCACAGAAGGGAAGAGAAATCTTTGTGCTTTACAATATAATCAGGTTTGCAAAGCCACTCAGCAACCCTCCTGACCATCTTCAGTCTTCTGCAGAAGTCAGGCCTTTCGGCCAAAATAGCAAACAAAAGCAAAGGATGAAACACAGAACGTTGTCACACTGGTGTCATCTAGCAGTATCCCAGTTTGAATTTTAACTCTTCTGACAAACATGTATTTCTGCCTTGCTGACCATGTCAGGCCAAACAGAATAACTTCCTGTGTATGGCCAAGCTTGTCTTCTTCATGCCTCTTTCTTTTTTTCTTTTTTTTTTTGGCCATGGTCCAAAATTAGGTCATTCATACGTTTGCTTAACTGTGAAAAAGGCCAAACAACCCACTGCATTTTACCCCATTTCTCCTTGTACTCCTCAGTTACTTTAAACTGAGCTTGGAAATAATTCACTACTTGGAGTGGTTTTGAGAGATGCCACCATACTCCAGGAAAAATATAGAAATTATAAAACTATTTCAGTCTATGCAGAGATGGGCACAGTGACTCCTTCTGTTCTGATAAAGTGAATTCCTCATCTTAAACGCTTTAAAAATTATTTTAAATGAGACAATACCTCTTGAATGAAAGAATACCTTACTGGACCACTTGACGAAGCTTGCTTTGGGAAAGTCAGAAGAGCAAAAAAGAGAACACGAGACTGTGGTCTCTCTGTGCTTATCCTTGAAGAGATGAGCCGCATCAGCGCTCTCCCCTCTACACAGTAACAATGCAAAATAACGAGCAGGAGAAAAGGTGGAGATTTCTGAGCTGTAAGTCATTAGCAGACAAATTAACGTACGGCCTTAGACCTGTCGGTCTAATTGGTACCTGTGGCTTTGATCTGGGCTGTGGTTAAAAGGGCAGCAGCAACACTCCTCCAACTTTTTTCTCACTAAACAAGGCGCACACAAAGATAAAACACCCCTAAACCAGAGCTTTACTAAAACATGATTTCATTTCCTACTCCTCTAAGAGTGGAAATCCTGTCCAAACCTCCTATTTTCAGAATTCACATTTGAGCTATCAAACAATGGGCCTCCAGCCCGGGCGGCTATTTAAAGCCCTGCTGGAAGCACTTGTTTGGGTTTGCCTGGTAGGTGACTAAGGACTCCAGCGTTAACTGCATCCTCTGAGGTGGGTTGAAAGAGGTCTTATAAAGAGATTTAAGCAGGACAGGGAAGGCAGACAACACAGGTGGTGAATCTCATGCAGTATCTTGGATTTGCCCAGTGGCTCACAGACAGGGAAGCCAAGGAATTGTCCAGACCAAAAAAAAAAAAAAAGGCTGCTTCTTCGGAAATCCTGAATTCTGATTCTGAAAATCAGAGCCCGTATCTGAAGCGTGTCTGTGTGAATTGCACACTTATTGTATTCGCTCTTGCAACACAGGAAATCTTATGAAATGCATAGGCAGAGCACCAGCAACAGGCAGGAGCCTTTGGCTTTCCTTTTAAACTCTTAACTATTAATAGGGACAGCATGGTCAGATTTGTTTAAAGGCTCTTTATACTGCCCCAGAAATATATAGAAGGCTCCACAACATTTCAATATAGATTCAATCACTTTTTCCTGTGACTGATGTCATCTAGAACTGGCATCATTTCCTTTTAATTACACTGCCTAGAGCAATTAAGTACACCCAAAGAGGATGGGTTGCAAAAAGTCTTCTTGGCTACACTGTTTCATTCTATTTTAGGGGTCTTTTTGTTTCATAATTAAGAGTATTTTCAAATCCACAACTGGTATTGCCAAGTGGTCATTTATTATGCAACTTGTTTACCCTTTTGGTCTACCAGTACAAAGACTGTAATTCATGAAATAGAGCTTTTTCTATGAAAATTTGTTTCTGAGGGGAAAACAGTCTGTGGTAGAAGAGAATAAAGCATGAACATATGTAAAGGATTTCACAGTTTAAAAAAAAATAAATCTATTTTCAAGCTAACTGAAATTAATTTTAGTCTATCCTTTTAACTAGAAGGAAGAAAGTAAGAAGCCCTGAGAATTATGGAACTAAGAGCAAAAGCACTGAACCTGCTTCTCCACCTTAGTTCAAGCACAGAGAGAAAACTCACAGTGAGTCAACACATTTGGAGTAAAGGGGAGTGTTTTAGCCCTGTGGAAACTGCTGGCAACCACCTACCAGCAGCCAGACAGGCTCTTGGGCCCTTTTTCTGTCTCTAGTTTTGCTCTTCTTCCCCTCTGAAACCCACACTAGAACCCTGCACCTTTTGACATCGACCAACAAGAGGGCAGTGATGTAGGTGTTAACAGTTCAAGGGCTCAGAGTGGCACAACATGTTTTAACAGCACACACAACGTAATTATGTTTGACCAAATTACCTTATTGTTTGAGACGGGGTATTTCTTACCCTCCACTTACTCGATTAGGAGATGCAGCAGCTCTGGATTTAGAGTACTGGACTGCCTCTCCCTGTTTGTAATTTCACTTCAAATTTCCTCCACTGAGCCATTCTGCATCTCCCACACGCTGCGTACCGGTCTTGAAACCCAAAGCCAATTTTGTTCCTAGTAATACAGTCGTTATCGTGGCAGCACCCAAAGTCACACCAGATGCTCCGCACACACAGTCGAGCTCCCAGCACATCAGCTTGCTTTATGAGCTGTCTCCCGCAAGAAAGTTCTCCCAAATCTGCCCAAGAGCTTCCCAGTGCTGAGATGCCTCCACTGCCCATGACAAGCTGTGGTTAGGGCTTTTGACTCCTGTGGACAGGGATGAGGTAATTGCTATTGCTGGTTTGTTGGCCGGATCATGATTTAAGGCTTTTTATTATAAGTTATTTTCCAGTGAGGAAAAAGCTGCTCTAGCCGCAGAGGCAGGCAATGAGGCTGCTGACTTGCAATGAACTTTCACTTCCTTGCTTTAACACAGATTTTCTACACCACCACGTGCCCCCTGCTCGGCCATTCAGTGCCTCAGTTGCCCTCCCCACTCAGCAGAGATGGGGGGGAAAAAAATATGTTAAAGATTTTGACAGTCTCAGTCACTACAAGAAGCGCTTGCTAAAAATCTCCCTTTATGACCGACAGTAAGTAGGACAAGCGCCCATGATGTAAGTGGACACATTCATCCCTGACAGTAAAATTTCAGCAGCAACAACAGTTTAGCCATAGCAGTTTATCATCTCTGCATCCCTCCCTTACCTTTGGTATTTTATTAATATCCAAACTCCAGCAGCCAAGCTCTTGCAGCTAACGATAACCAAACCAGCAAAGAGTTATTGGAAGCACACAAAGCATCATCCGCCGCCTAATTCTTGTACCTCAGTCGTTTAATTTGATACCTCAAGTTACGACAGACCAGCTCAGATGAGAATCTGTTTCTTACAAGGGGAAATTATTTTCCTTGATTTAAACACAGTGAACAGCGAGGCAGGAAAAGCACCCCATCCCACCTTCCAGAGCAAGTGCAGAAATATAGTATTTTATCATTTGAGTGACTGCTAAATCTACATTTAGCCACATCTCCAGGTAAAAAAAAGTTGCTCTCGTAAATCCACAATCAGAAGTCCTTTCTTTTATTATGTGCAGAAATAAAAGCTTACATTTAAAGAGTACTATCAGCTATAAATATTCAGTGTTTGATGAGCAAGACAGCATAAGAAAGAGGCAGATTGCTCCAGTAATCATATAAAATGCAGCAGTCACTTGACTCTGCAGTTGTAAGCTTTTTTTAGGTAAAGTCTTTCAGGATATAGAGAATTTTCACACACAATGTGAATTTAGAAGGCATTCTGACAGCTTTTCCATTCCATTTTCTTTAATTTCTCATCTAAATCCACTTTGTGTCATTGAGATTTTTTTTTTTACTGTGATTTCCTTTGAAAGCTTTGCTAAAACATTCTACTTAATTTTGGCAGCAAATGTAATCAAATCATTTCTCTTTCTTTTTTTTTACACCTCCCCACAACACCAAAACTTCTGATGAAGTCAGGAAAATATAAAATCTAGCTTTGTTTTCACATTAGCTTTAACAGAATCATGGTTAACCCTTTCACCCCAGCCTCTCGTGGATTTCATCTGAAGGCTCCTGGGGACCTTATGAAACTCTGAGGAGTTGGGATGAGGACGAGAGAAGAGCCTCCAAGCCCAGAAGAGAAGCAGAAGAGGTTCAAGGCAGGCAGGCAGAAAGGCTCAGCGTACTCCAGTCAATCAGCCCTTCTTCCATCCACCTGAGCCCTCCCCGAGGAGCTGCTGTGCTCCCAGGGACGTGCAGCACTTCTAGCATCGCAGGGATAAATAAAAGATGCTCAAAGCTAGAAGTAAAGGATGAGATATTGGCTAAAAAACGTTTGCAAGAGTTTCTTTGCAGAGCACTTGTGAAGTGCCCTGGCCTGGATGTTTGAACAAGGGCTGGTCTCCCACACAGTGTCTCTTGTTCATGGCTAATCCTGCAGCGAGGTCAAATAACGCTCTGAGTCACCATCTCCAAGGCAACTGACTGAATATACAGCATAAACACAAGATTATGGATTCGCTGTTGGGTTCAGGAAGGAGGAGGAGGATGAGGAAGAGCCGGGTGGAAATAAGTCATGCTCTTGTTGAAATCAGAGTAGTCAGTGCCGAAGCAATACTGGACAAACACATCAGTGTCAGCAGAGGGTACAATTTATTTTTTTTTTTCCCCATTTTGTTTCTCCTCAGCACCTGCTTCACCAGTAACATGTTTTTTTTTGTCTCAGGTGGTTTCTCCGAAATAAGGTACGAGCACAGAAGAGGGTGATACCCAAATGGCTGGCTTACATCTGAGATGTCACTGCTTCCCTTGAACCGTGGCCCTGGACAGCACAAGCCCATTAAAACTTTGTTTGATACAAGCTGTATTTTGGAACAGCACTCATCCCTATCTATCATCCCACACCATAAGATCACCACTCGATCACCACTCTAGTGGGTCACCAAAAAAAAAACAAAGAAAAATTGACAGCACCTCTCTCCTTTCCTTTTGAATCGCGAACGGAGTCAGACTCCCCAATACCAGTGCCAAAACAAGCCCCAGGGAGCGTTCCCCACGGACCGTGACGTGGGGACCGGCAGGACAGGCAGAGCCCAGAACGTCACCCCTTGTACCACCAGGCAGTCACCGCCCCAGTCCCATCCACCGCTGCTTCGAGGACATTGGGGTGATCAGAAAGCATCACTCCTGTCCGGAAATCCCAGCGTGTCGCTTCCCGCAGGGGCTGAAGGGGAATACTGGAGCTTTTCAGTTCCTTTCTTGGCGAAGCAGCCACGGTCCCAAGGGGGAGGTGAGGTCATTGTGAGCGGGGCTGGCAGAGCCCTGCACCCGCCACACAAAAGCAGGGAAGGAGTCACCCCCTCTTCTCCCTCCGCCAGGAGAAAACAGGCACTAATCTAATTGATCGCACGGGGCTCCAGTCAGCAGCAGCTGTAAAAAGACTTCTTTTCCCAAGCCAGCTGAACAACCCAAACAGTACAAAAAGAGGAGCAAATGAAAAAACAAAATACAGTGGCCAACTTTCAGCCACTCACTCCCACGAGGAAAAACTCCTTAGCCCAAATTTTACTTCGTGTGCACCTCTCATAAAACAATACATAGGAGATAAATAAAAAGGCAAACGCAGAAATAAACTCCATCGCTTAAGCTGTACTGTGTCCAGTGAAAATGTCAAGCGTTTTTCTCACACTAGTATCAGCGTGCTGCATAGCAACAAGTCAGAATGAAAGGTTAATGGTAAGGACCGCAGTCTGGAACACGCTCATTCCCACGGTCCTGAAGTCACCAAAGGAAAATGCTGCATCGATTTGTTTTGTTAATGGCATGAAGACTTAAAAGAGAGTGGTGGGTTTCCATGTGAAAACCCACCCTGTGTGAACCGGCTGTGCTGGAGGGATGGCACTAAGCACCACACACTGCCTGCCACTGCAAGAGTTTCAGAAACTCTGCGCTGGCTCCAGTCAGCAAGGCAGGATTTAGGGGAAAAGGGTTGTATTTCACCAGAGCTACAGCAATGAACCTGGCTGAGTAAAGCAGATCCTAAGCACAGCAAGGACTTACCAGGCTGTACACCATTCAGACCAGAGCATCTCTAACCTGGCAAACGTGTCATCCATCACCTTGCTTGCATTTAAAAGCTTTTTACTATGTGTAAATGTAACTGTGGATCTTCTACAATAGAATCCCACAGCTACACATTAAATAATTGCCATCTCAGTCATACAACTCTAGCAAAAGCGAGAGATTTTTAGAAGGCAAAAGCAGTCATCCAAACGCATTCTAGTCTCTACAAATAAGAAAAAAGAAAACCAATGAAACAGCATTACATTTAAGTCCACTTGACTTAACTAAATTTCATAGACTGATAAAATGATACGTAAAGAAAGGCAGATGTTTACCAGGAGAAATTGTCTCCAGACTCCCAGGATTAATCTTTCTCGTGCTTGTGCAGTGTTGGACAGTTGATCCAGTGAAGACCAAGTAAAAAACTACATCATCTTCAACTTTATCTTCCTCAGTCAGCTGCACTGTAATAACAGAGTCGCCCTAGGAAAAAGGACAATGAAAAAAAAGTTAGGTTTACATTTGCAAGAACTGCATCGTATAAAATAAATATTCTCTACCTACAAGGCTCCTGCTCCCTGTTCACTTACTCCTTTCACACGACTCAGAACCCATCCTAATTTTCAGATAGGCAAGTTATCCTTAGCGTGCCTCTTAGCATCATGGCCAGCTGAACAGCTAGAAAATATGTGGAGTGGAGCTCTGGGAAGGGATATGTAGAAATCTCAAGGGTATATTCAAAATAGCAACTTAATATGGTAAAATCACACCAAGTCTGACCAACAGCACATCACCACATAGGGGTTTTTTTATACACTCACACATAGATACACATACATAGGTAATAGCTAGACAGGTGTACATATGCCCAACATACGCACAGCTAAAACAGAATTTAGAGGCCTAAAGTTGCCTGTCTTTGTAAATTTGAACAAATTCCCTAATTATTGCCTGACCATTCACATCTCCCCCATATTGAGAGCTCAGTGTAATCAACTTAATCACTGAGCGTATTTTTCACCTGCAATCCACAATAAACACTCAAAGATACAAAAGTTTCATATCCACTGAGGTTTTTTCCCCACTTTCCTTACAAAAAAACCCCAGTAACTGCAGCTGTACTGACAGTTGTAGCACTTCTCACTCATCTTTAAGCTCATGCTTTGGTGAAAAACTGTACATTATCAAAGCCAGCAGTTCTTCAAGCCCCGGAAAGAAATCTGCTGTGATCTGTTGGTTCCTGCTTTTTTTTTTTAAGGAGGCTTGGTTTCAGTAGCTCAGTATATTCAATCACTTTGCTCATCTTGGCTATCAGCAAAAATTACGTTCATAAAGGACCCTCATGGTTATCATAGTTAACCCAGCACAGGATTCAGTAAATACACTGAAATCCATCCACCTGCACGGACAAACCCAGGAGCGGTATTCACCAACACCAGTTTCCCATGGGGAACAGAAAGCAAGGAAAGAGGATGGCTTCCAGTTTCTACAGGACTAAGCGAGGCATTTTCACTCAATCTCGCCATATATCATTTATCTACCTGAAGAATTATATAAACTCCGAGACACTGAGAACAACAGACTGTGACATGACCTTCTGCCCCCCTTCTATCAAGATCAAAACCAGTTGGATGCCCCAGTTTTACACCGCAGTTGCACTAGCCAGCTCTCTGCCACAAGCCCATTGAGCTTATGGTTAAAGCTGCAAAATCTGGAAAGCATTCTCCTATTGTTATTATGTTTTGCAGATTGTGTAATTCTAATTTGCATATCCAACAGAACATGCATGTCGTTTCACTCCAAACCTTCTCCTTAAGATCACGCCGTTTGTCCCTTCTCTTTGTCAAATATAACCACTGCAGAAGAGAAAATTCCAAGCCCTCCCATCGAGCCGTGCCACGTGTGAGCATCGCTTCCCGTGCTCCATCTCTCAGCTCCTCCTGTTCTCTCTCATCTCAGCTCCTTTTCCACCTCACCACAGCTTCCTCCTCCAAGTTCACGTCCAGTTCTCCTCTGACCTGGCCTGTCTGGCAGCTCTCGCCAGGGGCAAAATTGCATCTTGTTTTCATAGAAATAAGGTTTTGCAGTGCAGCACCAGCCCTCAGTCTTAAAAACAAATATATGGGTCAGCCTTATAACACACAGAAAAGAAAAAAAAAAAGAAAAAAAAAAAGAGGAGCAGTAAGCCTAGTTTGCATACCCAGAGGTTGCAGAGGTACAAATGCATATTTTAGGAAGGTCTCACATGATAATATCCGACCAGACGTCCAGCAGGACAGAAAGGAACCATGTAGCAAAAGTATATATTGCATATAGCCACTGTTAAAATAAAAACAGGTGCAAAGAGAAATAAACCAAGCTTTAAATTCAAGCACGACCAGTTCACATTCCGAGTGGAAAATGAAATATTCCATTTCAAGCGAATGGATCCAGTTTTGAGGGGATGTTAAAAAAAAAAAAAGCTGAAGTTTCAACCCACAAAACCTTTGTACTTTGGTTTTTTATATCCGTCCATGTTAAAACCGTTTCTCCCTTAAGGCGTGACCATACAAAGTACTTAAATAGACTTCAAATGCAGGTGACATTTCAGGACTCTCATCAACTGGTCTGATTGTTTAAAGGGGTATTAGTTAAAGAAGATTTGTCCTTGATTTAACGTGGAAATCACAGAATCAGGTACAGCCAGTGCAATTCCTGTGAAAGGGAAACAAATCCACGCAGAGTGCATGTGAGAAGACACCTGTCTATCCATGGGAGATACTCACAGTTCAAGGAAAAGCAATTTAAATTGCAGCATTAATGCAAAAGCTAATTTGTGTGCTTTGTTAGTGACAAAAAATGTGTAAATACATGTAAGAAATCTCAATAAGGAAAAGCAATTTAAATTGCGGCATTACTGCAATAGCTAATTTACATGCTTTGTTAGTGACAAAAAAATCTGTAAACACATGTAAGAAACCTCAATACCAGAGGTTCCACAAAACCTGGAATCTCTCTAAGTAGAACAGCTGAACTTCTTATACAAGTACTTGATCTAATATTGAAGGTTGTGCTTCTTTGGAGGGTGGTCAGATCAGACAACCTCCAGCTTTCTTTTCCAACTGAATTATTCCATTCTTTACATTTTCATTGAATTTATTTCAATTATTGTTTAAGTCTAGGGGGAGCAAAAATTATCATCGTCAATTCATGAATGTCTTCAGCTGTGTCTAAGGAGCACTTTGCACTGGGAGAGCAAAGCACTAAGACAGACCATCCCTCCTTCAACACATATCTCTACTTCCCCCTTACTAACACTTTTTGTTGCCTATTGCCAATTTCAATTCGATTTTAAAAAGTCATATTCAAACAACATATTTATTCGAAAAGGAAATAACGCACAGGCGTAGCCCATCTCTCTCCAACATTTTTGGAGTTAAATCAGTAACAAATGCAGCCAAATTCCTCAAACCCACATAGAAGACTTTCCAACAGCCCTATTGCATTCAGCCTCCAAAAACATTTTAATTGAAGTATGTTTACCTTTATTCATTTAATATCGTCCAAAAAAAAAAGTCATCTGTTCAGTATCACTGCCACACAAGGTGGTTATTATAACCCCTCTTTCATCCCGAATGGCTAGAAATGGGAGGCCAGCCTGCCAATATCCCTTTGGTGAAAGTACAGACAGATCAAAGCCCTTCTTTGGAATGCTCCGACAAATAAGAATAATTTAATTTCAAAACTAGTTTGGAGCGACTAATATTTACTTGGCTTAAAGCCCATTGGAAATGAAAACATTCCATTTCGGTCCATTCATGAAAAAGGTCGCCCTCTCCCTCGTTCAGATCTGTAACGCAATGTAAAGAAGGTGGATGTGGCTCTTTAAATGTATTCCCTTGCTCAGGTCTGCTTTGTGAAGGGATGGGTGCACTGGAAAATTCAAGCCTGACCTTGGGCCTTACACAATTCAGAGACGGGTGTCAGAGCCGCACATCTCCGAACCTTGGGCTTAACTAAGGCAGCAAAACTGCAATCGTCCTTAAAAAGGCCCAAACGCTGTTACTAGATCTAAACACCAAAACCAGATAGACAATGCACCTGTTTGACAGCCGATTTTGCTGGCATTAGAACAGCTTTTTGTTTTTCCAGCGCTGCCGTTAAAGGCACGAGGACTGTGTGTAGGCAAAGTACGAGTACAAGCTCTGAGTAATCATCTCTCTCAGACTTGGTTTCTCTGCCTGTTAAAACAAACTATTTACCTTCAAAGGCCTTTTTGAGGATTTTTTTTTTTTGTGTAGAGTTTTGGGTTTGTTTCTTTTAAAATAAATGACCTCATCAATATTTGGAAGCAATGATGAAGCCGACAAAATCTTTAAGCACAAACAAAGCATTTATGTTATTAGCTCAAAAATACTATCCACCTTCCAAAAGGAAATTTATTTTTTTAAGCATTTAATGACATCCTTCTTTTCCACTTCAGGCTCTGGAAATCCATCTGGTTTTGGGGAATTGGTCAGCATTTGGAACAGCCTTGGCTAATGCAGAATGCAAGACCTCAGGATGAAAACCACAAGGTTAGCTGGCAGGTGGGCGTCTTCCCTGAGGGATATCAGCTGTAACAGGTACTTTCTGTATAATGGACTACAAAGGGAAAAATAGCCTTAGAACACTGGCTAACAAATTGTAAAGTTTCTTTAAAAAAAAAAAAAAGTACAGTTTATTTTTGTAGCTGAAACGTGTGATTTCTAAGCTGGTTTCCCCCCCCATGGTTCATACCGGGAATTTTCAAAGTGTATTATCTAACCCACTAACCACCCACTCTGACCTCCCCACACACACAGAGTCTAAAAATACTTATGAAAATGAAGTGTGTGTTAGAGAGCAAGGCTGAAGTACTCAAGCATTACTTTAGCATTCTGCTTTTCATGAGAAAACACAACCAGTAACCGTGAGTTTGTTCTACACAGAGAAGCACCACTGCTACCTATGGCTGCTTTTTCATGCAGGAAAAACCCAGCCAGGGCCATCCTACCGACTGGAAAGCTCACAGGTTAGATGGGTTAGAGATTCACATCCAAGGAAATAAATCTTCTTCCCAATATATGTCCTTCTTAAGAGCTGTTATAGACATCAGTGTTACGCCGCTTTATTAAAGAGACTGGATGAGGTGCTGGATTAGATGAGTAAATGCAACAAGTTTTGTTTTGCTTCCGCTACTCATAACACAAATCAGATGCTTGTTGGGTCATTGCTTATTGCATTATATTGGGACACAAAAGGAGAAATATGCTTTCAAAATGCCTTTTTATTTCCCCTTCTTCAGGAAGCTCTAAATAGCTCCTCAGAGAGCTGCACTGTACCCAGGAGGACAGCATAAAACCATAGTTGTGGTTTCTTTGCCCTCCTTCAAGGAATTCAGGTTCATTAGCACCTTTATTCATTTCCAGATGAAGTTGGACTTGCTGTTACCCAGCTACTGCTCAACACGGAGCACATGGAAT